ACTGTCAGTGGGCTGTGTTGCTAATTACACCAGAAATTTAAGCTTCCTATGTACTCTGTAGATGATACTAAATCTTGCTTTCCAGTGACTTTTCCCTTGAAAATTTTGAAGCTATTTGAGAAATGAAAATTTACCTGCTTAAATTACTTTACCCTGAATATGCACCCATCTTCCAGTCAGCCAGGAAATGGTATGGCTTGTGTTATGATTCTTATATCATAATTTTAAGTGTGGTTGTGTCTGAATTCCACTATATATCATCTCTGGATTGTTGGCAAGGACTAAAAGTCATGAGATTCATTAGAGATTCCAACCTTCCAGTTATAATCCAAATTAGAACCTTTTTGTGTGTTTTGCAATGGGATTATTCCTTGGTTTAGCCTACAAAGGGATCTGGTTTGCATTAGTGTTGGTTCTCCTCTACCTCTTTTGCTGTGTAAACACTGGGCTGTAAATTATGTCCCAGAATCTGTTTACAGCATTTCACAGATATTTGGCTGGCTAAAAATAACTCCCTGAGCAGCCTGAATCAGCCATCAAACACCAGCACATTTGGCACTCCCAACCCCACATCCTTTGCTACCTGTTCCTCTCCTGCTCAGGACTCGGACTCAGTGCCAGGCACCAACCTGAACACTTAAAAAACCCCCCAGTCTGCCAGCAGAGCCAAATATAATTGTGCACAACCGTTCCCAGTGAGGGGATCCAAGTTTGGGATGAAGCCAGAGTCAGACCTGGCCGAGATCTCCGAGCAGACCCTTCCAAGCCCAGCAGGCAGCTGCTGCAGCAGCTTTAATGCAATTGTTAGGAGGGGCCTTCCACCAGAACAAACTCCTGACTGATGCATTATTAGCCAGTGGAACTGTGATGGGAACAGTCTGCATTGCAAAAAAAGATGGGAGCCTCTTTCCTTTCCACTGTCCAAGTCCATCTGATCCAACGTTTGCTGCTTATCAGAGATAAATCTAAATGATTACAGTGACCAAGGCTTGTACCAATCTATTTACATACACTGCATGCTCTCCTCTCCAAGAGGGCATCAGCACTGAAACATTTTCCAAGGAAACCTAACTACAGGTCATGTGTTATTCCTATAAAGTACATAGCAATGAAAAACCCCAAGCAGCATTTGGAGATGTGCAATGTTTTTAGCTACTGCTCTGATCACTAACACAATTACAATTTGTTTAGCAATGATACAAAAAACGCTAAGGTAGCAGAAAATCACCAGTTGTGATTCTACAGGGAGAGGGAATGTGTGCCCTTTGGTATTAATGCTCTAATACTCCATGTGATAAAGGAACTCACTGCTGAGCCCTTCAAGATACTGTGGTCTACATAAATGCCAAGTTATCCGTCAAGCAGCAACTTTTTTTTTGCGAATAAAAGTTTAGGGTAGCATAAATCAGTTCTTCAGATCACAAACCAAAACTCTTAATTAGAAAAATAATAACTGCAGCTGGTGTATACCACTCTGGGCTTAGGGATGGCCAATTACAAGTAACTGGTAGCTACAAGGTAGAGAAGAATGATGATAAATAAATATATCAATAAAATATGTGGGAAATCTTCCCATAAAATAATTGCAGGCCAATACTGGTCTACTCTAACAGAACCAGAGACAATTCCATTACTTAGCTTCTCACTTAAAATAAGTTTTCTATCAGTACATTCTGGTTGTCATGCTCTTAATTATGGATGATTTTCTCGCTGTTAATATCAAAAAAAGTCTAAGAACACTTGCTATAAAAAAAGTGTATGATTTTTTTAACCCATATACCAAGAGGTTTTTTTCCTCACTGAGAAAGAACCAAACCATTTAACTCATTTAAAAGTACCCTTCTGAAATTCAGAGACTGACTCCAAATGATCCCAACCCAGCAGGATACTGAGTTTCAGGTGTAATTCATGCTGCTGTAACCTCTTCCCTGTGACACCAAACACAGGACAGCAGCTGCCTGACCAAGGTTTTCACCTTTGCATTGTTTTGCTGCTATTTAAAATAAACCCAGCCCAAAGGAGAATTCCCAAGCAGCAATCCCCCCAGAGGGAGTGCAGTCCCCCAGCAGCAGCACCCAGTGGAGTGGCCACGGCCACGTCCCTGCTCTGACAAGCCACAAAGCAGAATTCCAGCAGATCTTACGTGCTGAAGCCTCATTCAGCAAGGGGCCGGCCAGGACCAGGACACACAGCAGGACTTTCAGAAAGGACATCCTGGAGCCAATGGGGGAAAAAGACCTTTCCTTCCAGACTCTGCCAGCAGCAGAATGAACTTCCCTTTCTGCTGCTGTGGATTGTGGATTTTGAGCTTGTTTTACAGCATCCTTCTCTATAAAGAATTACTAATTAACTTAAAACTGATACAACTTCCTGATAACTTACCCAGCATATTTTCCTTTATGAAACCCGGAAGTTCCATAAAAATATATCATTAATATAGCTATTTCTGAATTTTTGAAATCAGATGTGAGGTATTCATTTAATGACCTAAATTTCAACACACTAAGGTATCTGTCAGGAGCATTTCTCTCTTCTCCTTTTAGGCTTATATTACCTTTTACAGATAATGAACTTGGACTGTATTTGCACATAATTTCCTGGAACAGACATTGTTTTTAAAGACAAAGCCATGGTCCTGAAGCCATCTAAGAGGGATGAGATGGAAAGGAGGGAATCCTGTAATTGGATGCATCTACAACTGTCAATTAATTTTTCATTTTTCTGAGAAAAGAAATTACCCCTCTGGCAAGGATGAGTGACAACAGGAACTCACACCTTAGCACACCCCCTTGCTTCTTTTTTATTTAAAGAGTCCTTAAAAATTTTCAACATTCACTGCACAGGAAGATCCTGACTCTGTGGTCACCCCAAACACTACCCAGGATACACCCAAAGTTGGTGGAGTTTAACTGCATTGAAGCTGAAGTTAGCACAAGCATTGTTCTTAGCACAGTGCTTTCAAAATTAATCTATAACTGATAAAATCCCAACGTGGATTTCCTAATTTGACAGGAGCTGGCTGCTTATGTAAATATGCCAACCACAGTTACATTAACAGCAAAAGGTAAACTTTAACCTTTGCTTTTCAAAGGATAAATAATGATCTCTAAAAATCAATGCCTAGCAAATTCTTGAAATACTGCTTTGGCTAAAGCCCAACAGCACTTAACATTACAGCAGTAGATAAGAGATTCTCAGTCCTGCCAGAAGATTGCTTTACAACAGACCACAACAAAGAAATTAATATCTACCTCAATGGAAGAAATTGCATGATCCTTCTTCAGATACAAGGCAGAAGTGTGAAGAAGCAGCTCCTGAGATGCTCCATTCTTCTGGCTGACAGGGAATTTCCCTCTGGCTCCAGCTCCCAGCTGCTCAGTGGGAGCCTCACTTTGGCTGGTAAACAACACCTTTACCTGGGGCTGTCAGATTTGATTCAAGGATGCAGAAATGCAGTGGGCAGTTTTTCCTTGGGTGAGATGTTTTAATGAGGCAGGTTACAAACCCCAAACTCTTCACTTTGCTACATCACTGGCATTTATTGGATGCAGCAGGTTTTACATGGCCTCACGAAGGGCTGCAGAAGCTGTGAGTCGGTTTCTGTTTTCAGTGCCCACTTGGGTAACAGCAAATTAACCCAGTGCCAGCAGACCTGAACAGCTGAGAGCTTTGTATTCCACAGCACACCCATTTCCTCCTCTTATTGTCTGAGTTTCTGGAACTCAGCAGAATCAAGTGCCAAGTTATGCATTCTATAATGGCATCCAGGCTCATTTAATTTCTTCAAAGAGAGATATGTAAACCAAAGTTACTGACCAAAATTAATGGTGGAAGATGGAACTGCTCATGATTTTTAATTCATTTCACATCTGGTTCAAGATGGCTGAGGAGTCCAGCCTCTCCTTCTGCATTGCAGGGGTCCCTGAGAGTGACACAAACCAAGCACAAGCTAACACTGGTTTGAGGACTTCTACAAACAGAGCCCAGAAAAGATTTCCAAGGCTTGAAACCGTGACAGGCTCACTTTTCACCTATTCCCTGCTCACAGCAACGGAATTTCTTTCAGTTGTTGCAGCAAAATCCATCTCCTGTGCCTGTAAACAAAAGGACCAAGGACTGACTGCACCTAGAACCCCGGGTTTCACTGGGGTTTGTTCTCTGGCTCTGGGCCACAACAAAAGCACATCAGGGGCAGGGAGAAAGATACACCAACTTCTAGAATGGCTTCAGTCACAGCCTTTCTTGGCTGCAGCTTGCCATCAGCACTGATGAGCTTGGCTTCTGGGAATCCTGCACTTTAAAATTAAAACCACACATAATCCAGTGCCTACTGATTGTCCTTTTTAAAAAGTACTGGCTTCATAGGACCCCACTTTCTTTTTGGATTTCAAATATGTTTTCAGCACTTCACTGAAATATTCCAAACCTTCACTACAAGATAACAGCACTGCTGCATTCCAATACTTTTCCAGTATTTCCCAAGCTGTTCAAGATTCACAGTGAGAATCTGCCATTAAAACAGCCCAATTACTCATTCACACAATTTTCCTCCTTTTGAGTAATTCACTCTTTAGGTTACACCATGGATTACATCACTTATGACCCTTGCTTGACAAATTATTTTATCTGCAAGACTGGCACAGTCAAACTGAGACAAACACATTTACCACCTGCTTCCTTCTTAAACCGTGTCACTTCTCCAGCATGGATAAAAGCTGTAGTTTTTCCAAGTCCTGAACTACACCATTCTTTAGAAAAAAATACCAAGAGAAGAAAATGGAAGCACTTCTCAAAATTTAGGCCACTGAGCATTGATCTGTCCTGTTACTTCAGTGATTTCTTCCAGGAGTGTTTCAGTATTTCAGGGGTGAAATTTTCCCCCCAACATTAATAAACCTTACTTATTAGAAATGAACTCTTTAAAAAGGGAAGGAGTTGACAATTTTCCTACAGATGAACACAACAGACAAAAATTGAACTTAATTTTAAAAAGTATCTTATTACCCTTTATTTCCACGTGCTTCACAGCGTTATGACAAAATAAAGTATCACAACCAATTCTATGTAAATAAAAAATTAATATAAACAAGCTCCAAATCTCTCTATATTGAATACAATCAACCATAAATTAAAAAAACATGCATTAAAGCTATTTCTGCATTATAAAATACATGTGACCCCATTCTTTAAGACATTGAATTTTTCAAAATATATAACTTATATAAAAATTACAATATACATTCTTACTTTTATGATGTTACTATATTATTGCATTGTGAAATAAGTGACTCTTAAGGATACATTTGAGAGGCATTTCAAAGTGTTTCACAATAAATTAATAAAACCATGTCTCAAAACTTTTCCCACATTTTATGTTAACTTTTCACTGTAACAGGTTTGTCTATTGGGTCTGAAACCTTCAAGAGCCCAAGTCAGGCACATGGTGAGCCAGGACTCACAAGCATGGCATCATGTGATCTGAATTTGCTTTTTTAAAGCCATTGCATAGCACCTTTACTAGAAATTACTAATACAGACATGTGGCTGGAGGTTCAGATGTCTGAACTGAAAGCAGAGAACACAAAGCTGCCAGAATACAAAACTTCCCATACTTTTCTCCCACTTTCTTTGGCTGCAGTTAGGGAAGAGTTGTCTTTAGCTGTACCTGTTTCACAACCAAACCTTCTAATTTTAACCACACTGTGTAGGGATAGTAAACAAAAACTGGTGATACAAATTAAACAGAAAATTACCCTGCCTTGAGGAGAAAAGAAATCTCAGCTGATGAAAAAACTAAATTAAAAAGTGACAATAACATCAGCAGCATCACCATTGACCGGTGTGGGCTGCAAGGGACCTTCCAGCCCACTCTTCCACCCCTGCCAGAGGCAGGGACACCTTGCAGGTTGCTCCAAGCCCTGTCCATCCTGGTCCTGGACACTTCTAGGGATGGGGCAGACACCTGGCAAACCCTGAGCTGGAATAATCCTGTACTGGGCGCTCCTCTCACCTACCAAAAATCCCACATCACAGGGACTCCATTCTGTGAGCTACAGAGCTGCATCCTCCATCCTGTTTGTTCATCACAGTGGGTGGGAACACTCATTTTAAGTTCTGTCCCAGAAGATGTTTAACTCTGAGGTTCAATTCTATCCCAACGCTGCCCTAAGGAGCAATTTGAGACTGAAATCCAGCCCCAGGACAGCTTTGTGTACTGGGGCCATGCACAGCATGAACAGGATCAGGGGCTGCAATGGAAGGGCTTGCATGAACACCTGATTCCTGCCTGCCCAACCACAGAGCCAATGGGTATCTGCAGACCAGACACCTCCACCTGCATCACCAGGTCTGCGTGGAAACGCCCTCAAAACCTGGCAAAGTCCCAGGGCAGATTTTGGCATCAGGGAAGTGTCCCAAGGCCTGTTCTCCTGGGAAGGGAGATGTGCTGGTTCCGTAGCAGCAATCCAAGGCAGCTCCTCTCCCTGCTCCCACGAGACCAATTCCAGGGCAGAGTTTTTCATTATGTCCTGAAAAATCTCACCACAGTAAACTCCTGCAAAATCCAAGCAAATCTGCATCATCTTACCTTTCCTGTTGACTTGCTGTGGTAGCACATAACTCAGAGTTAGAATTTAACAATCTGGGAGTAGAGCAGATGGCTTTTCCTTTATGTGTTTATCCAGAATGTTATCAAAGGGAGACAGATAATACAATTTCTGGCATCCAGTCATGCACTTGAAAATGATAATTTCTTCACAATTTTCACTTATGTCTTCATCTATTTCCCTTGAAATGGTATATGAAGCCCAGCCATCTAATTTTTCTACTCCTCTCTCTTTGATGAAACACTAAATGTGGCATGTCCAGGAACTCTCTGAAGATTGATTTAATATCCTCTGATTGCTGCCTGAATTCTGACATTGCCTGGGCCTTTAAGAGTTGATTAAAGAAACAAAACACATTAAATCCTGTCAGCTGTCCCAGGCAAGTTTAACTAAAGGAATTCTTTTAAACTTCACATTTTGTGACTTCACCTTGCACTGGACCCTGTGTAACAAAGACCAACGCTTCACCTGAAATTTGGATTTTAAAATATCAATTTGTTTCTGACACATCCTAAAAGCTTTTCTTCTTTTGTTCATTCACCATTTGTGCCTTCTGCACGTTCCATCCTGCATCTCCTCACAACTTTGCAGATCCCACAGGGACACCAGGAATTCTGCCTGTTATTTGCCTTTGCATCAGCAGCCTTGGAGAAGGAATCAGGTTGTGAAATTTCTTCTTCTGAAGGGCAGAGGCAAATATCCTACCACATCCCAGTGCTGAGAACAGCAGCATTTCAGGCTTTAGCTTTCCATCCACACTATCTGCTCATATGGTTTCTCTTGCTTCCCCCTCAAGTTTACAGCAAAGTCCATATTTTCATTAATTGAAAGGTAAAAGAATGAAGAGAAATGGAGGATGAACAGAAGTACAGGGATATACACCATGATAAAAGCAGTGTTTGAAAGTTTCATCCTAGGAAACTTAATTTCTAATATCATTCTTATGTAAAAACAGAATTTCACAGAAATTCTAGCGAAATCAATGAGCTATTGCATACAAACTTGTGGGATGAAAAGGTTGGCTGCCTACTACTTCTGCATTTTTACTGTCTGTCAACAGATTAAACCTTGGAGCTACTGATTTCAAACTTCCTAAACACTTCTACTGGATTTTATATCAATTCAGTATCAGTTTCATGGATTAAGCAATTTAAACACAGTTCTTCCAAGTATTAGAAGTAGGTGAAAACTGATGCAGGGTTTAGTAAGGATGTTTAGAGATCAGCTGTGTGTTTTTGCCCAACTTCAGAGACATTTGAACACAGCAGAGGTGTGCAGGACAAGGAGCCGTTTCCATTCACCTTTGCATGCTAAAGTACCAAACAATACCAAATTATTTTATAATGAAAAAAAGTGACTCTTTCACACAAACTTTAAAGCCAACGCTGTTCACATGATACAGCCATGGAGATTTTAAGGATACTCAGACCAGCAGCAACTTGTAATTCATTCCAGAGCTGAAAGATAAAAGACAAAGAAGCCTCTGCAAACCCCATCCCTCACATTCTTCATTCAGATCAATGAACATCTGAGCCAAAGCAGAAATACGTTTGCATTTTAAATATCCTTTGTGAAGTGACATTTATTAGCAAGTTTGGCACAGAGAAACCTCATTGGGAGAAGACACTGACAAATCTTGTTTTCCCAGTATCCCACTAATGACACTGAGTGAATTCCCACTGCTTATATGGAGTCAGGAACAAAATAAGCACTAAACAGAATCACGTAAGTCAATAATACAAATTGGAGATAAGAAAATATCTCACAATTTCCCTATGAGGAAAACACCTCACAGGGTACGTATTGTAAAGATTATTCTTTCCCTTCTTCCCTCCCCCTTATCTGTAACATTTTGCAGTTTGTAAAGGAGACTTGGCTTAGCTCCTGGTGCTGTACATGTCCACATCTTCAGGGCTGGACTGACCATGGTCCACAAGTTTTGGATTAGGCTTAAATTTTGATGTCTTCCCTGTTCCTGTTAGAGACAGCAAAGAAATTTGGTTAAAAAGTATGCATATACTTGAGCTGTAAGGAAAAAAACTTAGTGATACATTTTGAGAATTTCTGTATCATTGTAAACTTAGAAAAGATCAAAATCTGTCTGCTCTAGTTCAAAGTGTGTTAAGAAGTGACAGAGGAGGATGAGGGCAAGTTGGAATGCTGAGCACAACAGTGGATGGAAAGCAGGACCTCTTCTCACTCTCCACCTCCTAACCCAGCAGAGTGAGAGAAGAAATTGTGATGCTTTGCCCAGCACATGGAAGGGAAAGTTTGAGGCATGGAAAAAAAATGTCCAGTGTTTCCTGCCCCAGTGCTCCCAGAAGCAGAGCTGGCTCCCAAAACCAACCTTGCCAGATCTCCCCGGAAGCTGCTGCCAGATGGCAAGAATTCCAAATGAAGACAAACACTCTTACCTAGTTTCACTTTGTAACTTCCAAAAACCATGAACTGAGTTTAGTAAAACACTGAACCCTCCCACTCACTGAAGGACAGTGCACAGGCTGACAGATTTATTGGTACTGGAGGTCCAGAGGATCTAGGGGAATACAAAGGCAGCTTTTCTGGGGCTGTGTCTCCTGCTGCTGATCTGCTTCTTTTCCAGCTACAAAGGATGTTACATTCTCCTGAAAGCTTTGTCCCATCTGGACTGAGAAAATAAACATTTCTGGCAACACAGATTCATTTAGGGCATGGATATTTTTGGCTGTATTAGGGACATGAACTAATTCCACTTACGAAAGTAAAGATAGATCTATAAACACAAACCCAAAAAAGACAGTTTGGACTGAAGCAAGTGTAAAAACAGATCAAAGCATTCCACAAACTAAATCAGAAAAAATTCAGGTGCAAACCAAGATATGAATGCATATTACAGTGAAAATAAAGGAAAAAGATATTAAAACCCACATCCAAATAAGTTCTGCTTACTTTCCAGAAAAAAAAATAAAAATCTGGTAACAATTCCTTCCTTCCGAGTGATTTCCTTGTAACAAAATCCAGAAATTGCCCATTCAAAAGGTAACAAAACAAATTTTGTTCTCCTTTAATAGGTAATTCCACTGTTTTCTCTTACAAATTGGACTACCAAATTTTAGTCTGTTAAATAGGCTGTTACATGATCTAGTTGATTATCTCAACCACTTTAGATGCACAAGGAACCATGGCAGAAAACCTAGCAAAGTAAAATCCAATGCTTCATTTCTCAATTGCACACTCCTTTTTCATTCCACTATGGATCATCTCTGCATTGTTAGCAGAGGCTAGAAGTAATGAAATCCATTTGAGACTTCAATCTTCTAATTATAATCCAAATGAAAACCTTTTTGTGTGTCTTGCTTTGGATTATTCCTTATTTTGACCTATGAAAGAACCAGGTTTACATTAATATTGGTTCTCTGACATTATTGAGAGAGACTAGCAAATATTTAATTCTGCTACTGTGACAGGATCCACAGTGAGAAAATTATCACCTCCCCGAGGCTCTGAAATATGTATTAAATGACAGCATGTAAAATATGCTCTCAAGAATAATATGCACTGACAGTCTGCTCCAGTTTAGAGCAAGAGTAAGTGCAAAATTAAGTCAACTAATTGGATTTGCAAGTTGCCCTGAGATTACACTTGAAATGTTTAATTCACCTGATGAAGGCACTGGCTCTTCATTACTCCGAGACTCTCCTGGAGAAGATTCTGTTGTGTTAAATGATCTTGACTCAACAGCAGACTCAGGTTTGGTATTAGAAATTCCCTTCTTTTTCTTATCTTCTTGCATAATTGGTTTTGACTCTTGCTGCAGCTGTGAACCAAACATTAATAAAAGAAAGCACATGGGTATATGCTTAATACATTATTGCAAAATAAAGCTTTCAAGTCTGCCAGCTTATCTTTCATGAAATTATTTTTAGATATGACATCATACAATGATATTCAAATAGTCAGCTGCACACAAGGGACACAGCTGGAAAAAGTAAAGTGCATGAATCCCCACAGATCAGATAGAATAAATTCATGTAGAAGGGAACATGCCATGATATACTGAATAAATATATATATGACTGAAGCTGTGGTTTTACCTGAGACTCTCCAAGAACCTCATAAGTTCATTTCCAGGTGAGAAGCCTTTAGCCTTACACAAGGCTGAAATAGCCCTGAGTGTTTAAAGAACATTTATTACACCTAGTTAGCAGAAGACGGAAAGATAAATCATGGTTACACCCTAGTAATGAGAAATAATATGTCTTGGGAAGAGGCTTCACTCAGGGGAAAAAAAATGAAGTTAATAAAAGTGTCTGTACCACATCAATTCTTGTTTTGCTATCAGTTTAATGACAGTTATCTGAATCTCATTTTCAAAACTCAGAATTCCATTTGTGCTTCTCAGAGGAAATAAAACTGAATGCCAATGAGCACTGTAAATTTAAAGCAAGAGTTCTACATGTTAATGTAACTGAGAAACTGAAATTTTCTTTGAAAAAAGCAGTGAAAAATTACTGTGCAAAGCTGCAATTTTAGTTGGGAAATGCTACTTTCGTCAAGGTTTTATAGAGTCCCACTTGAGAAAAAAACCTTTTGGGCTGGATAAAACCCACATTTAATTCTGGGATTACTAACCCAGCTCCCGTATGTAATTTACAGAAGGTTCACATTGCCCTCTACTCTCTGCTGGCAAGGCCTCAGCTATTATATTATGTCCTCTTTTGACCACCTCACTTAAAAACCACAAACAACACAAACCACACACAAAATCCCCTAAAAACAGAAAAGCAGAGAAACTAGAGGAAATTCTGAGGAGAACAAGAATTATGTCAGGGATAGAAAGCCTGCTTTGAGAGGGTTATAGTGGGGAAGAGAATGTCAAAAACCCTGCTAACTTTTCCCTGTGTAGTAGGTCAATATCAAGAAATTGCTGACCATTTATTCATTATGGCTGCAATGAGGACAGGACAAGGAGAAGAAATAAATCAGATATGGACAATTCGTATCATAGGGTAAATAAACCAGACTTCCTGCAAGGGTTGTAGAAGAGTAGCCAGTCATACCTACTTGTAATCCTGAGTGGCTTTTGTCTAAATTCAGGGGCTGCTTAAGACTAAAGCTGAAATCAAAATGGATCCTTTATGCCAAGGTAAAAAAGGAGGTCTAAGAGAAACTCATTCTTCTCTTGTGCACCCTGCTTGCATTGTGGGGCTACAGAGGGGATCTCAATATCTACTGGTGTGAAAGGTATAAAAACAATTAAACACTGAAGTGACAAAACTGTCAGATTGGGGTTTGTGCCTTGCTTAACAGCATCAGTAAACCTTGAACAGCATCAGCAGAAGAGTCTACAAGCTCCCTCTCAATGTGTGAGTTATCATTACTTCCCAGGTCCTACCTTGGTGACAGTTTCCTTGTCTGCCCACAGTGACCTCACAGCCTCATAGGTCTGATGACTCGCACAAAGTAACTTTTTCCCAGTTACCTGGTTTTTTTTAGGAAAAAATAATTTAACAACAGCTTTTAAAATAAAAAGACAGACTATTCAAATGAAATTAATCATGTTTGCATGAGAACATGCTTGATCTGATACTAAGGCATCTACTTTTCAAGATCTAGTGCATATCTCCCTTACATCAAGCAAACTGTAAATAATGTTTAAATTGGTATTAGGAATCCACCTATCCATGCTAAATCCACCTACTCCAAATGAAATAAAACCCTGATCAGCAAAGTGTGCAGGTAATATTGGCACAATAGATGGAGCACCAGCTTAAAGGATCCAACTTGTCCCACTAAGTTGGAGATGACCACAGATAAAACCAGAAACTCACCTTAGCAATGACCACTGACTGAGCTGGGTAACAAATAGAATATCCTACAGTAGTAAGTCCCAATGGATAAGCAATTCTCTTAAATCTAGAACCTGTACAAAGCCAAATATGTTGAATAATTAGACAAAATGAAATGCAAACTAAGCAGTTGTAGCAATTAAATGCAGGAGACATTGATATTCTGAAAGAGAAATAAGCCAAAACTATGTTTTCCAGTATTATGAAGAATGAGAAGAAGCATTGTATCATTAGTCCTGCTCTGTCAGCTCTCAGCCACCTCCTAACAACAATCAATAATGTCCCTTCATTTACCAGGAAGGATTTTTTCAGTCACACAGGCTTTTGCCAATGTTACCGAAGAGCATTCTGACCACTGGAACTGTTACATGCTCCATACCCCACAGACCAATAATGAAAACAGTCAAACCCTACCTTTTCTTGCCAGCACTACACCAACCAGGCCTGACACCGTAATTACAGCGGCTTTGGGAAGAAATTCTGGAGGGGGGTTGTTCAGGTAAACATAAGCATCTAAGAATTAGAAAAAAAGACAAAAAAAAGAAGCAGGGCAATTCTGTATCAGTCATTTGATTTTATTTCCCCCTTAAGAAATAAAGGTAAAATTTTTGATTTTACTGAGTTTATATAGATAAAATGAGACAGATATGTGACTTGCCTACCTTTTCCAAACTGAATTGTATCCATTATTCCATTTTTAATGAAGACGTAGACACTCTAAAAGGAAAGAAAAAACAAAACCAGAAAGTAAAATCTCTGCACAAGTAGCTACTCCCATATATCTCAGCACAAGGAGACAAAAGAAATACTGTGTAACTTTAAAAGACCCAAACCAGGTCAGTGACCTTCTAGAAATGCTGTACAGAGATCTACCCTCTTTTTTACATATTCATATTTTTAAAACTTATATTGACAATTAATTAAAAAAAAAAATAAATCTCTCTAATGTAAGCTCACTTTCAGTTTTTTCAGTTTTTTCAAAACTGACATCTCAGGAACTGTAGAGAAGGAAAATACCTGGACGTCAACTGTATAAGAAAATTCAATTCTGAAATACAATCTTCTCTTCCCTAAAGACTTTCCCAGGAAAACTGAAAGAGCAACACCGAATTTGTACCACCAGAGGTCACTGCTACTCAGTGACAGGAACTCACAATGATTAACGGGATAAAAAAAGTTTGGTACAGGTTTATAACAAGAGTATTTCAGTCATGCAGTCACTGACAACATTTTCACAGACCAATGGAATCACAGTTTACAGAAAATACATTTTTAATTTTCTTTTTTTCAACCATCAGGGTCTACATTTTTTTTGCAAAAGCAAAACACAAGCACAAAATCTCTTCCTGCCAACAGCCAGGGTGAAGCTGCTGTTTCCAAGCAGGTCCAAGAGCAGCGACAGGCACCACAGTTCCCTCTCCACCTGGAACACACAGTAACAGAGCTGGGAGGTGTTTCTGATGCCTGTGAGGTTGCCTGCTACAACAGATAGATGGGATGCATTCTGTATGTGGTTTTTATCAGGTACTGCCCTTTGGAAGCAGCTCCTTCTCCATGGACTACACCTGGAAGATCAGACTCTAAAACACCCTCAAGTTCTGCCAGCAAGAATTTACCGACATAACTCCTGCTGTAGAAAGAGGGCTCATTTTCCCATCCAAAATTATCTTATGCTAAGACAAGGAACTGCCAAAAAATCCCTCCAGGGGGTAGTAACCTGGTTTTTTTCAGTGGTTTAGCGTAGTGCTGACAGGAACTGCAGGAAATGTTGGTGCAGGCATCCCTTACCTGACACCAGCCAAAATAGCGGCCGGTCGTCGTCCGCACTGCCGTGAGCTGCTGCTGCAGGCGCCCGGGCTGCTCCTCGATGTACTTGGACTTCAGAGGGGGTGCACTGTAAATGGGGAGCTGCAAACAAAGGCACAGCTGAACAGCAGGGCCAGAGCTCTCTGCTCTCCTCAGCTGCTGCATTTGCAGGGGGTTTTTCAAGCCTACAAAACCCTCAGTGCTCCCATTACGGCAAACAAAGTCGCTACGTGGAATTGTGAACTTTTAGAGTTCCAAACTGACTCTACTCAAGTGGGACTTCACTCCTCAGAAATGAAAACTGAAATAATTGTATAGGTTCTGAGAAGCAGAATTACTCACTATGGAGCAAAGGCATGTGAAAGAATAATTAGAAGATGGATGTGGGTATCACTAGGAATTGCACATTAGAAAAGGACTCATCAGTAGTTCTATTTTCACCTTTTCTGACTTCATTTTTGAAATACTGTAATGATGAAAATAAGATAAAACTTTACTAATTCAGTATTGTAACACTTTGTGTTTTATTTGAGCCATAGTGGTCAGTTATTTATTATCATTTATTACTTTGCTATGTATTTTAGTTACTGGGTAATATAATTCAATGGACAGAGCTGCTATTCTGCAGATTTTTCTAGTTTCTTTTTCTATTTAAAAGACCAAAAAAGAGGAAGAGTCATACCTTATCTGGCTTCACCAGCTGACTTTTTGATTCCTTTTCTGTTGCTGCATATACAGTAATACATACAAATGGCAGCCCAGAAGAAACAGCTGCCAACTTTGCCACCTGAGATGGGCAGAGAGAAGAAAAAAGAGTCTTAATGCTGAAATTAAAATTTCCCTTGGGACTGATCAAATATGGGATTAAACAAGTCATTTTTAAAACCATTTTTCAGCATTATGCCTTTTAGAAATGTCTTCTGACTTATACGAAGATTTGCTCAAATTATAATGGTAAAAAAAAAGGTTTAAGGTCCCTGACAACAGTTTATTGTCTAAAATACCAAGAAGAATTTTGTGTTCAATGCCACGCTGGTGCTTCCATCACTTGTTAGGGTAAATTCAGTTGTAATTTACTCAGCATGCAGGAACTCCATTTTTGAAGAATTAATACAGAAAAACTACTTTAAACCCATCATAGTTCAGATTGCTTATTTCTGTACAGCATACTACCAGAACAAGACACCAATTTTCAGTAGACACTAGAAGGAAAACTAAAAGTGACAGAGCATGAAAAAGTTGTATTGTTCACTTAAAAAAAAATAAATTAAGAGTCACAATGGATTCTATGCTCAATGCAAAAGAGAAAGCTATACAGGGAATGATCAAAGTGGTCCAGCTCCTGACTGGCAGTAATTGCTTTACTTTTGGGTGCCTGCAGACAAACACATAAATGTTTAAAGATCCAAGGAAACAGCTGTACTGGCTAACATTTACACTAGCACAGTAATCCCAAGAGGGATTCACTCTTTTCTACTGAAATCACAAAGAACCAGAGTGAAAGAAAAAGCAACATCACCTTGATTACACTGAAGAGTCTTCACTGCATGGAATTGTTTATTCTGTTCCTTATCTAATCACGAGGTGCACTAAAAAGACCTCATTTAGCTAAGTTGTTTCTAGTATTAATTTATTTAAATTATTTTATTAAAAGTTACTTATGAGGCATTATGCATTAAACCAGGAAAATCATACATTGTTTAGCTAAAGAAACCAAAAAAGTATTTTACCTATGAAAACTTCTACAGAAATTATTGAGAATTACAAAATGGCAGGATCATATTGTTATATCAAACACTAGGAAAGAAGCACAGAGAAAAAACACCTGCAACAAGCTGGAGCTGTGGAACACCTTGGAACTACATCTTCAGCCAGCAGAATGACTCCAGAACATCACCTGATAACTGACTTACAAATAAATAAAAATCTTCTTTTTGAGGAATTTGGGAAATTGTTGCAGCTACAAAAGCCATGAAGCGAGGTGACATTTCTGGAGGTGAATGCTGCACAGACACAGAGCTAAACACCACCAGAAGGAAGCAGACATGGCAGTATTTTTGATGAGAAGCCTGAACAGCAATTATTTGCTGAAGAAATACATTATATGCTCTCTAGCAGAAAATTGTTACAGCTACGCCTCTTAATAGTAGAACTGGAGTAAGACCAATCAAAATATAATAATAAAACTGTCAAATGTACCTGGATAATTTTGGCTTTAAGTCTTTGCATTTCAAACAATCTGCTTCAAAGTGTTGGAATCTTATCAACGATCAAAAACACAGATTCTATTAAAAAAAAAAGTTAAAAAGCTACATCACTACAAAGAATTCACTATCTTTCACTCAAAAGATGCAGAATACAAACTAAACCATAATAAAACCGTACAGATAATTTATGCTAATCTCTAAGACATTGTTTCCCACTGAAACTGCAAATTCTGCGTGCTTGCTTCAAGAATTGGAGCACGAGTCAGGAAACTTGCCCTGAAGGCAGGAACTGCCTCAAAACAAATGGAATCAAAGGAGTGGAGTATATGCAAAAATCCAATGCGTGGATTTATATAAAAAAACACGTGAGTTCTCTATCACAAAATGGGAATCTACTAGCCAGGTTAAAATAAGATTAAAATTTAGCAGCTACCTCATATCATATTTTCTATAAAACATGTTAATTAAAGAATAAAGTCATAGGTTTATGACTTCCTTCTACCACTGAGATATCTTGAGGTGGATCACAAAACTGTATCAAATCCCGTTGGTTTATTTTTCCCAGAAGTTACAAGAGACATGATGATTGCCAGAAGCTTGTAGGCCAAACTCAGTATCCTAATTCAGGTATGTATTTATAAATCTCTGATGACAACCACCAAAAACCCCTACACAAGTGGAACAGATCCTTCCACTTCACCTCAGCTCACTGATGATCCATGGATTTGGTTTTAATCTTGGTCTGCCAGATGGTGACCCACAGAAAGTGGAATCTTAAGAAGAATAAAACTTATTAATAATAATAAAGAACACATAAACTTATGTCACTTCACTAAACGTACTGAATCATTCAGATTTATGTACTGAGCCAAACTACTTAAGATCACCCAGACAGACAGCAAAGCCAACGAGAGTTTCTTTTGCTGTAAGAAATTAAGGTAAAATGCTTTATTTTAATTTCGCTGTCTGTCCTCGTTGGCATCATCCTTTGCAGATATATATACACATTTTAAATGCCTTAAAAAAGTAAATATGAAGATTCATGTGAGAGGAACTTATTCGTCAATTTGAGTGTGAGCACTGGAAAACCTGTCTAAATATTTGTGAGAAAGCTTAGATCTTTACATGCACGTTCTTCTGTTTGAAGACACTAGAGATATTTTAGATACTTGTAACCCTGTTAGCATGATTTTAACAGCCTTGTTTTAGTGATGTACAGCACCACTAGCACTTTATCATGTTACTACCGAACTATCATCTCGATATTCCTCGAGTTGAAGGTGTTTCGGGGGCTGAGATTATACTGAGAAGAACCAGAAGAAAAACACTGCTTTTATTTCCTTTTGCACAATTTAACCACTTCTCGAACCAGCTCTTTTCCCCTCACGTCCCACATCACAGAGACCTCTCATTGCCCCACTCCTCCACCTGACCCTGGGCTTCCGCGGCACCCGGGGCTCCTTCCCCCCAGCGCCGGCGGAGCTGCGGGCGGGCCGGGCGCTCCCGAGGGCCGCACGGAGCCGCTCCAGCTGCCCCGAGCCCGCGGAAGAGCGAGAGCGGAGCCTGAGGGGCAGCGGAGCCGCGGGGCCGGGGCAGCGCCGGCCTGAGGGCAGCGGACACTCACCTTGGCCGCCATGTTGGACAGCGCCGCGTACGGCGCGCGGGAAGGGCCGCACCGGGCGGGGCCGAGCGGCCGGGGCGGGACCGCGCTCCGATCGGGCGGGATCGCCCTCAGGCGGGGCGGGCATCACCCCAAAGCGGGCAGGAATGGTACCCCTCAACAGGGGAGGGATCGCCCTCAGGCGGGGCGGGCATCACCCCAAAGCGGGCAGGGATGATCCCCCTCAGCCGGGGAGGGATCGCCCTCAGGCGGGGCGGGCATCACCCCAAAGCGGGCAGGGATGCTACCCCTCAGCCGGGGCAGGGGTGATCTCCCTCAGCCGGGGTGGGATCGCCCTCAGCCGGCGTCTCCCAAAAGCAGGCAGGAATCCCTCTCAACTGCGGCGGGGTCACCCTCAGCCGGGATCGCCCGAAATCGGGCAGAGATCCCACTCAGCCGAGATCGCCCTAAGGCGGGCAGGGATCCCCCACAGCCGGGGCTTGGATCGCCCCCAGATCGACAGCGATGCCCCTCAGCCCGCACCGCACTCACCCTGGACCACCCTCAGAGCACACAAAATCCCCCATAAACACACAATCGAAGTGCAGATAATTCGTTTATTGAAGTCCAAATTTACAACTGAAGTTTACAATTTTATTTTTTTTCCCCCCAAAACAAAAGCTTTGCTTGAATTTAGGAAGAATAAATGTTTGTTTTTGTTTTTATTTTTGTTTTTTTAATAATGTACAGACTATATCTCTTAAATAAGTTAATATCTTTGAAAAAAGAGCAATATGTTCCTTTTTTTAATGTTGCAGTGCAACTTACAACTTACACGTCTGTGCAATGTACCATGAGGTATATGCCCAGTGAGCAACACACAGTGAAGTTTTCCATTCATAAATTTTCGTTGTAGACACACAAAAAGTTAACAAGTTATTAATCTGTGATAGAAAACGCAGCCGGTTACAGTAATTCACACAGAACTCGTTTGGAAAGAGGGAAAAAAGAAACCTAATGTTCATTGCCTATAGAAACTATTGGATCGTCTCTCAACTTAGACAAGTATAAAATTAAAAATATTGTTGTGAAACTGAAGAAATACTGTGTTATCCAGGGGTTGAAACCTTGTTTGACCTGTATTAGTCTAGAACCATTGGTTTTCTCTCTGTAGCATCCATGAGCTGAGGGATTTACTGTGGTACCGATGGAGCATCTGCTCGTCAAAGCATTAAGCACGATGGGCACTATAGAAAAGTTGCAGAATGCTCAAGATCTTACAACTCCAACATTTTCCCTGGCATGGACAGGTGGTTTTCATTGTCTTTCAGTTCATCTCCCAGCTGATCAGAAAAACAAGGCTGAAACATGGAAGATTACTCGTATTTTGAAGCTTGACACTTCAAACTTCTCAAGATGGCTCTAAAATACTTATTTTTCTTAATGACAGAAAACATATATTTATTTAAGAAAGAATCATCCACAATATAACTTTGTGATAAATAACAGTTCTGCCTCTAATACATATATACATACTGCTTGTAAACAAAAATGCCCACAGGTCATGGAGTCTCCATGATTTTTATACAAGGCGCTATAGATTTTTAATTTTTTTTTTTAAATTTTTTTTAAATTTTTTTTTTTGTTATTGAAAACAGTCCTAGTGAAAGTTTGGTTTATAACCTCCTATTGCTACAGAAACGGTAAGAATGTTTATATTTACAAAGAAACAAAGACCATGGAGACCCCATAGCATTATTTGCCAAAGATTTGAAGTTGGTGGGGTTCGCAAAATACACGTTGTCAGCACGTTGGACAGGTTGAACACCAGCAGTACGATACTCCAGTGCTTTGGTATTTCAACCCCTGAATATACAAAGACATTACTACAGCCTACTTCACAGTTTAATGCAAGTAAAGTGCAAGCCATAGTACAAGGGTGTCATACATTTCCATACATGTAAGCGTTATCTAAAAAAGGCTCTGTACAAGGTTTATTAGCTATTTAGTAACCTAGATGGAAGTCACCTATGGCCCAGCAATTAATGGTCTTACAAGGATATTGTCTTTGTAATACAGTATGTGTCAAATGTAAAACGTTTATTAATACTAGTGCATTTCTCTTAAATCCTAACTTGTTTTCTCGTCAGATTTTTAAGCTGAAATCCTTGTTTCTCAGTAAAACAGAAGTCTTAACTGGTAACAGGGTCTTACTGGTATTTTGGCCAGCGAACACAGTTTGTTAAGACGTATTTGTTTTGTGGTTGCTAGTGAAAAAATGCAGGAGTTAATATGTATAATGTGACATCCTTATTTAATCTGCAGCATTCGGACAGACACATTTACTGTTAGTAAAAAGATCTGTATTGATACCCTCACCAATGCCTGAGGATGAGCAATATTCTAGAAATGTGAGGACAGAAGCTACAGGGCTTAGCAGGTCAAACAGCAGGTTGCCAACATATTTGATCATTTTTACAACATTGCTTTCTTTCAAATACTGCTCATACAGTGTCATTCATGCTTAAAGTCCCTAACTGTCACTTCTACCACATGTATGTACCTAATAAAAATAAAAATACATCTGTCTGGCCTGCATTAAGAGTGAATATGGTTCATTTCCTGAAGGCAGTTTCTGTCTGAATTATTTAAACATTTTTATTAAGAGGAGGTCCCAGTAGTATATCACCTGTCTTCAAACCTGATAAAAGCTTAAACAATATTCTTTATAAACCTCCTTCTGGATGTACAAGAGTTGTATAACCTGTAAAATATAGAAAATAAGCTTTAAAAAATGTTTCTTCATCTATTAGTTATATCCAGAGTGGAGAGTTCCCTGCCCACGTGTTAGAGAGTGGAACTGATCAGAAACATCACATTTCGCTTGTGTGTAATGGCAGCAAAGAAAATAACTATAAACATCAACAAAGGAAATAACAACTTATTAGTTTTGGTTTAAATACCCCTGAAATTTCCATACATCAGCTGATACGGCTCAGATGGGATTTTCAGATGGGATTTTCAGATGGGATTTTCAGATCTGTGCTCCCTTAACACCCATCAAGAGCCTCAGCCACATGCTGTGAATTCGTCTGAGAGGAGGTGGAGGACCTTTCCCCACAGCATCCTGCCTGGGGAACCTACCCTGAGCCTCAGCTTTAGTGAGAGAAATATTCTGGAAGAAAAAGAGCATTTTAATACTGAATATAAATGAATAGCTAATATTGCTTCTCCAGTCCTTCCTGTTATTACCCATTTTTTGTCCTAGTGGTAAATAAACATTATTTGGTAGCAGGGAGGGTGATGTATTGTGGCCAAATGGAAAATATACCATGGAAATCCTGTGCCCTTCTGGCTGCCCTAAAGCACCATTTCCCTGCTGTGAAAACTGAGGGGAGAATCAAATCCTTCATGAGACCAAGCCAACGCTTATTCCTCTAACAGTGAGTGTAGGGAACCCAGGTATGCCCTGAATGGGGTTCAAGCTGAGGCCCAGCAACGCAGGCAGGCCTGTGCTCTCTTCCTTGGGGAATCTCCCTGGGGCTGCATCTGGAGACACTCAGAATCTCTCTAGAGACACAAGACTTGCTTGTACTGACAAACTGAGTGTTTAAACTATAACTAAATTGCCTGGTGCTATCCTCTAATTCAGGAGCAGCTGACAGAGGGGGCTGGTTTCATTGTGCTGCATCGTGCCTTACATTTTACACAAACCATCTTCTAAGGGCTTCACTCCCCAGCGTGTGAAGGGTTTGTACAAACTGTTGGTGAACAAAACAGCTCTTCTGGCAGAGCTGTCCCTCCTCAAGGATCAACAGCATCCATCTATACCAGCTTGGTCATAAATACTGCTATTTTTGGCACAAACAATGCTATTATCACTTCGGAAGATGGCAAAAGCACACGAGGAAAGAATATGACAAGTAAGATACGTGATAATCTTGGCCTGATTTGCACTACTTGAGACAAAGATAAGAACATTCTTTGTTCTCCTCAGATTTGTGTTGAGTTAAACAATTTATACCAAATTCTTCATTTTTCTCCCAGAGGTCCTATTAACATTTGAAGTGAAATCTCCTAAAGGTCAGCAGCAGAACTGTGCAATTTTTGAGGAGGCTGAGCCCTTCCCAGAGCCACTGTAAAATAACTTCTTCAAAGGTACTTGTACTGTCCTTCACAAGACCTTGGAGGATGAGCATTCTGTAACTGCTGAGAGGAGTGAGAGTAGCTTAACTGGCCATGTACAATTCTCTGCAACACTCATTTCTTTTTCCTTGGAAAAAGCCAGGGGAGCACCGCATTCCCAGCTCAAAAGGCAGTAGCCAAGAGCTGAATATATCCCGATAACAACCCCCTTCTCCTCCTCCTCCTTTGATTTTTGTTCGTGTCAATTACAGCAAGCTCGTTTTCACTTAAAATAATGAAACCAAGAAAAAAGCCTCGGTTCTCTCAGGAAGTGATGCCCAGAGAGCTATTAAGACACTTTCAAAGATCTGACATGTCACTGAATACAGACCAGTATTAAAAAAGGAGGGGAATCAATAGCTCAGGGGGAACATTAAATCAGTTGTAATGAAAAATAGCGAGTAACAAAAAGACTCAGCTTGTGGAGTGTCAGAGAAAGTCTATGGGCTGAGACATTTTACCTGTAGGAGATCTGAATGAAGATACTAACTTTAATAAGATCCAGTTAAATAAAGCGCATCCAAACAACATTTCCATGTTGTTGTATAAGTTAAAAACCAAGTTTTACCTGAGAATTCAGGCAGGAAAACTGGTAAATTAATAAATCTATTGTACAGGTGCTGTTTATTTTCCTTGATGAACTCAACAGCCAAGCCTTGTTCTTTTCTTATTTAAAAATATGGCATCAAAACAACCACAACAATTCCAGCTGCTTTGTACAGTGTGTTTAAGTACCTGTTGGTCCAGCAGAATTGGACATATTTTAATATGTAAGCAGGATTTGGTGCATGAATTTTTAAATGCAGTATCTGTATTGCACTTTGCATTCCAGTGAGTTCAGAGGTGGTGCAAATCCAAATAATTGTGCTGTGG